CGAAACGGATTAATGTGGTCACAATATCGAATATCGACCATCGCTTATGTTCAATATTGTAAGTTGATTATTTGCTTTCTTTCAAGTTACTATATCTCAAATGATCTCATATATATATATATTTACCTGAAGAGGAGAAGAGAAATCGAGGTAGGGTCAACCGACATGAAAAGGATTCTCCAAACAATAAGCAAGTGTGATGTAAATGATGACCCAAACCGATCATAAACTTGATGAAAAGCTTGAAAGCAGAGGATGAAATGTTGAAGAAAGAAATATATCAGAAAATTAGGAATGGTGAAATTCTCTCTCCATTCAAGGAGCCGTTAGATACGTATTTGTTTGACTATTTATGTAGCCGGCAACTAAACTACGTGCTGGCCTCTATCATGATCTTCTTTAAAATCTTACAATATTTTATAAATCACACTTAATCATGTTTTTGATTAGAATTATTAGACTTCCCGAAGATTTAGTACATGTTTCAACATCATATAAGGATATGCGGTTCTTTTAGGTGGAGCTAATAGACAAGTATGTAAGAGCATCCGTATCCATGAACTTTTGAGGGTATCATTAAATATAAAATTATTAAAAACACACTCTCTCTTCCTTTTACTTAACTTTATACCTTCTCTTTCTTCCTTTTACTCAACTTTTATTAATTTTATACTCTCTTTAAATATAAAATTATTAAAAACATATTTTTTCTCTCTTCAAAAGTATCAACTATTTGATACACATACTTTTGATACTCTCTCTCTCCAAAAATACCCACTATCTCTTCTCTTTACTCAAATTTATTAATTTTATATTTCAATACACCCCATTATTTCAACCAAAAACACTCTTTTTTTTTCTTTTACTCAAATTTTAATAATTTTATATTTAATGATACCCACCAAAATTCACCAATATGGATGCTCTAATGATATAATAAGTTGTTTTGTGAAGGTAATGATATGAAAAAGTGCTTGTGAACGTGCTTCAACCCTACAATCTGGTCTTACATCATGTGTCACAAGTCAGAAATGGATACTACTCTCCTCTCCGATGGGTCAAAACACACAAACACAATAATCACTTTTAGCCATGTTTAAGGCTTTCAAAATTTGAAACAAAGCAGCATATTTCTTGGAATATTTCTCTGCGTTTGATTTTGTGTTAACATGTGATTGATTCTCCACAGAGTGTTGAATTAAGTACACTCAAGAGTGAGACATGGTTGCTGGCCCTAGCACAATACAAGACTATAATGTCAAATTATTATGTAGACTCGAGCAGGTTTGTCTTGAAAGATTTGGTGAAAAGAAAATTTACTTAATGGTGTCTACGGCGATCTTTCGATGAGTTTGAAGGTTCACGATAGTCACGATCCCTGGAAGAGTGATATCTTGATTTATCTGACTGTCCACCTGAATTATCCTTTAGTCTATCTCTTGACCGATGATGACCTCGATCTTTGAGTCTGTCTCTGTCCTTATCACTCTCCTTGTCAGAATCTCTGCTTCTGTGGGACCTGACC